ATACTTTGCAAATTATATAAAGTGGATCATGGTGATAGAGACTATTGGTGCTGTTGATGCCAACTCTGTAAACATCCGCCATGCATCTGAAATCCAGTTGCTTCAGCGTGTCCTACATGATGCAATACTGACAAAAGTGTACGGTTGAGTTGTGTACGAACTACTGAGAGCTTGATACCTGGATCATATCGACCGAATTATGGTTGTAAGCAGCGTACCGGATTTTCCATGATGACGCTTCCAATCCTTGTCAGTTGCTCCCAATTACTGTCACCCGCCAGTGATGTTCCCGTCCCTCCCCCTGTACCACTCTTGAAATCAAAATCCCGCTTATGCTGTCACTTGCGCTACTAGTATAGTCATCCTCCCCTTCTAAGGAACCTTATCGAATCTTATCAGGTGTTGTCACCTCCTGTCACCCACCAAAAGTGTTCCCGTCCTGCCGTGTGTCACTTCCTCAAATCAGGATCCTACAGCTGCTGCAACTTGCGCTACGAATTGAGTGACTGGAACTGTCATCCTACCGTTCCTGCGATGCTCGTTATGAATTTCGTGACAGACGAACAGACGCACACGCTAACAGACATACTTAGCGGATTTTATATACTAGGACTGCCACATTTCCATTCTTTATCAGATCATTTTCGTGAGAATTTTCAATCACTTCTTTGGGGCCCTCCCTGTCAAAAGCGGTCGTACTACTTTCATCATCATGCTCCTCATTCCCTACCCAAGTGATTCCGCATGCTTTTGAGAACTGTTCAACCATCATTCGACTAGCGTGCATATAGTGCAGGAGCGGTGCTTACATCACCCTGGAAGCCAAATTTAGTTTCTGAGAAGCTGAGTCTTCTCAATATTTGCTCCTTGATTCTCTTGCACTTCAACGAACATTTCGAAGAACTTATCGAAACAGGAGAGGAAGCGTTCCATTTGTTCAGACTAAGTTCAAACCACTCAGGTTGCTGTTATTGTTATTCTATTTTGTTTTTCTTTAGTGCCATATTATTTTCTTTGAAATCAAAGGAACTTCTATAGAGAATACTTGCCGTATTTGTACGTATGTAAAAGGAGGAATTGAAATGCAAGAAGAAGCTCAGTAGTTGAAAAAAATGAAGCTTAGCAGACTAGTGGAGTGCCGAGTAGAACGGAGCA